GGGCAAGTAACATAGCTATGATTTACGAGCTCATTATGCCTCGTTTTTCAAATGAAAAGAAAAAACACAGATTTTTTTTTTCTCAAACTTGTTGGTCTGGAATATATTTTTTAGTCATTCATATACATTTATTTACATCTATGAACTTAAAAAATATTGTAACAGTACCATATTTCGAAACATTGCTTTGTACAAACTTAAACTAACTAATTGTATCTTCCGACTCTCTCATTAATCATATCCCGGAAAATAATTGGTATCGAATTCAATTCGTACTTATTACGAATACCCATTTCGTATTCTATAAATGGTAAGAAGTAAGAAACACTAACAAAAACATCTGGGTTACCTACACAACAGTGTGGACCACCTCCAGATACAACACCAACTATTCGTCTATTATGCATCAACGGACCACCACTGTCACCCTGTTGAGAAGGATTTATTATTGTTGTTAGTATAATCACGATGAAAGTAGTATTCAACAAAGTGTTAATATCTTAAAACAAAATAAGTAATTATTAACATAATGTTTCAGGTATTTTAACTAACCTCACAAGTTCCGAATCCACTTTCACGTATAGTGCAAAGTTGACGATTTGTAATTCGTCGGTTGTAAAAATTATTACAGTTTTGTAAAGCCGTAGTAAATAACACTGTTTTCCTCATGACCCGTGACGGAGCAGATTTTCGCTGGTTAGCCCCAAACCCAGAAATAACCACCTCCGTACCTACCGGAAGTTCGAAATACGGTGGCGGAAGTCGTATGAACTTGATATAGTCGTTAAAGGTAACATGATTTAGAAGCTGTGGGATACATTTGTTTTACGTTACATATCACTTGTTATTAATTTTTTTCTTAAAAAAAATACTTTGTCTACTTACAGTGATCATGGCAATATCATCAGGCCAATGACTGTGAGGGCCATTATGAACGGAATGTTCCGCACAAGCTAGCCTTTTTACTCTGAAAGACATACCGGAACCAATCATTACGCTGCCAACCTCTACTGTAAGTTCTTTTCCGTACGAGCCCCCACCAGTTATAAAGTTGTATATACAATGACCCGCTGTGAGAACGTGTTGTGAACTGACCAGAGCACCGCCACAGACATGCCAACCGTTCGACTGAATCGAAACCATGTATGGAAACTCTCCAGGTGACACTAAATCTGAACGTACTCCTAACCTTGGCTGAAGGTCAGTTTCATTTATTTGCACTGCACTTTCAAATTGATTTTTGTCAGCAACTACTTCATCAGCACTTTTCCGAGTGTATGTACCATTACTGTTGATGGAATTTCCATAACCTTAGAGGATAAATTTAGCGTCAACTTATTTTAAAGAGAAGTATTTCTTAGAAAAAAAATTATTTTTAATACACTGATAAATTAATTATTTAAATAAAAAAAGTATGAAATGACTAATTACTCAGTACTATGCAGCAAAGGGCCAGAAGAATTTTCAATGTCTTCATTTTTGCCGAGGCACAATCACCTTCACCCGAACACTGACGAATACTTTTACTATGCTTGGCAAGGTTTTTATATGTGGCTGACACTGCCTTTTCATGCAAGAAGTGATCGTAATGAAATGTTGAGTTGAATGATCCACATTATTTTGTCGATACGTTGTTTTGATTTTAAATTTAATAACACGTTTTGTATTCTTAACTGCAAGTATTACTCAAGGCCAAAGAAAAAAAATAAATAAATAAAAGATTTCATCTTCTTTCGTGATGAAAATATTTTTTTAACTTCAGTATCTCTGAACATACGATTAAGTAAGTTTTTGTGTTGTTTTGTTTCATGGTTTACTTTGTGCTATAAAGCAAAAAATTGCATGATATTTCAATATTTTGCTTCATATCAATTCATAAATTTCATTAGCTAGTGCAGTAAAATTATTATAAAAGTGAACTAGAGTTAATATATTCAAACACAAATAGAACTAACTTCGGGTATTCGTACCATCGGGTATTCGTAGAATCTAATACAATAGAATGTAGTGGGTCAAAACCACAGTAAATTACTGCGCATTCGAATAATATTTAAATTGATACAGATGTTCTTCTGAGTTATCAAAGCTCTTCCATGGTTAAGAGTATCAGATAAAAAAATTGAGTTTAATCTTAAAATTAAAAAAATTAATTTATATGACAGTTATTGCGTAAAGTGCACTGAAATAGGTGATCAAAACAATTATATTATTTAGCTTTCATGAGATCAAAAGAATCATACAGTATAGTATTTGGAATTTTGTATATTTTATAATTCTTAAATTCTTATTTTCTCAGTTGCTGAGTAACAAATCGACTGATGTATTTATGCTTGAAAAGGTAATGTGATGCACCTAAAAAATTTTCAGAACCTTGCTTTTGTTTCCAACACTTTGTAGAACTACTTTGATATTTAAAAGCTACAATTTTCCATGACTTAGTTATGTTTTTTTTGTGTTGATTACTTTTCCAAGGAATACTAGTGAATTTTTTTTGTTTCAGTCTTTTTACGTACACCTAGCCATACTTTACTAATACCCATTTTCTTGTAAGTGCAACGACAATTTGAGCCACAGATAAAATGTTACCTTGTCTTTTTGTCTGAAAGATTTTAATGTTATTTGTTTTATATACTTTTGGTTGGATAGGTTCACAGTATCTCTGTAGCCATTAAAAATTAATATTCATATGCACCGTATGAGGTTTTGTACATTCATTTTAAAATAATCATAATTTAATATGGGGTCGCCACGTAAACCATGCAGGAGTATGGTATTCAAATGGTTCGTACATGTGCAAGTACACTTTGAATGAGTAATTTTTACGTTTATTATCTCCCAAGTTTGGTTTCTCAGTTAAATACCTACTCATCAAAATATCTTTATTGCAGCCCAAATCAAAAATCTTACGTAGAAAATCAAAGTAAAAATTGAATCCACATGTGCCATCATGCGGTTAAATTTCTTATGTGATAAAGATGGTATTTTTTATGATTTTAAGAAAAGTAGTTTTCGTCACACAAGCTCTATCATCAATAGGGCTATTTTGCTGTCCTAGACGAGAGATTGTAGGGTAGCCCCTGGTAAATGGCGATTGTATGACGTATACTATTTTATCTTTTTAAGGACACTGTAAACGTCCAAATGTCACGAAAAACGCCCCGAGGTAGTAAAATAACTTTTCCGCCCTCGAGTGGTTTTGGGAGGCTGGTACTTCCTCGGGCGAAAAAGCAGTTTTCCGGAACTCGTTCGAAAAGTCTCCTTTACGAACCTCGTTACGTCCCTCGCNCTTAAAAATAAGGAATAACAAAATAAAATATTTGGTATGGAAGATACGAGATTATGTTACTTATGACAGGAAGTTTACTTTCGATTGTCATTATAGAATTTTGTAATTAAATTATTTTATTTTAAATTAACAAGTTCTTGCTATAGACAGAAACTAATCTAAGCCCAAAACATCAAGAAGAAAGAATACTGGGATGAAAGGTGACTTTTACTAAAAATGAAAGGGATTTGGCAACCTTGTTACTCTACTTTGCAATACCTTACGAAGTACGTACGATGCACTGTATAACATTGTGCAAATGGAAAAAAAAAATTTGCTTGAAAGAACCGTGGTGTGGTGCTTTCATCCGATGTTGAACCTTGAATCTTAAATCTTAGAATGTTGAAAGTGTTAAAAAAAAATTAGGTGGCTTGCAAAAATAAAAAAGTTGTATCAGTTTCAAACATTGGTTGAATAGATAATTTTTGTTCGTGGTATCTTAAAAAAAAAATCATGTATATTTGTACTAATGATATACAAACAAATTCTGAATAGCTAAAAATAGTAGCATATAGCTAAAACACTGTATGTGCCCTGTAACAAAGGGCTTGTTATCCTTGCTTTCTTATCTTTTTGACAACAAAATGTTGAATACTTCCAAGTTTCGTACTAGATCTTATAACTTAAATTGTTAGATCAAAAGCTACATTTCAAAGCTAGTTTGTCCTATTTTTAACGATTTTTGTCGGTCACCGAATGAATATAATGCCATGAAAAAAATTTTACATCAGAAAACATAAGACTGTTGTAATAAACATTTAGTTGTTAAGTGTTGAATACAAACGGTTTATACTTCGAAATAGCTTCTTAGGTAATCTACATGATCTTACTTCTCTAAAATATCAAAATACTACAGAAAAAAATTTAGAGTCCTAATTTTAAAGAGAAGTATTTCTTAGAAAAAAAATTATTTTTAATACACTGATAAATTAATTATTTAAATAAAAAAAGTATGAAATGACTAATTACTCAGTACTATGCAGCAAAGGGCCAGAAGAATTTTCAATGTCTTCATTTTTGCCGAGGCACAATCACCTTCACCCGAACACTGACGAATACTTTTACTATGCTTGGCAAGGTTTTTATATGTGGCTGACACTGCCTTTTCATGCAAGNTATGTTATGGGTAAGAACCAAACGTTTACTTGATTTAGATATCTCTAGTATTCTATTTACTTTAGTAAACAAACTTAATTTCACACACATTTTAGTACACAAGTATACCTTAATTTGTTTCTGTAATATACTCTGTACAATTTAAATTTAAGTTCAAGTTTTTTACCCAAAAAAACTAGTAGTTTTAATAAAAATGGTCATATTTTTATGGTATTCAAATTCAGAGCTCTTTTGTAAAACAATGGACGGCCATGTTATCAGCTTATGTTGAAATCTGTTATGACTATGAGTCAACTCTGAGTTCATTTAGTTCTGCGACATTAAATTTTTTTTAATTTCAGGAACTATCATAATTGGTCGTAAAATAAAAGACTTATCAAGTTAATACTACAATCAACAATTTATTCTTACAGATTCTTAAAACTTAGCAAGAAATGTTACGTATGAGATTCACATTAACGATAGGCTTTTAGTGAATAGTCAACAAAATACTTTGAAGCAGGTAGCATAACAACAGGCATAAGTCATCTTATCCACATTAATAAAAACAACGAGCTGCTTAGTTAAATCCATGATTCATTTGCAAGTGCTCGTAATTAATTTTTTCTATCGCTTTAATGGTTGCAGGATCGCGATTTCCCATTTCATATTGAATGAACGGTAGGTAATGAGACACTTTGGTAAAAACGTCCGGATCACCGATACCGCAGCGGCCACTGCCTCCAGATACAATACCAATAACCTGTCTGTTGTATATCAATGGACTACCACTGTCACCCTGTGGAACAATACTGACGGTTATATTTTGAATAATTTTTACATATTATTTGGATTTGTATCCTGTGAATGCAATCTTTTTGTAATGAAAACTCAAGGTTCAATATGTCTTGTACACTTTTTAACTTACTCCACAAGTCCCGTATCCAACATCACGTTTTGTACATAAGTGATGGTTCGTAATTTTTGATCCCATATTTCTGTAAAATTGATTGCATTCTTGTAAAGAAATGGTGTGCAACTTTGTTTTTTTCATCACGAGTGATGGAGGGCCTCTGAACTGGGAACTGCCATAACCACTGATAACCACCTCTGTACCTACTGGAAGTTCAAAGTTTGCCGGCGGTAGCTTGATAATTTTTACGTACTCACTACCGGCAACGTCTTCAGCAAGCTGTACAGAACGTTTGTATTAAATCATGACTATTTATTAGACATCATGAAGATATACTACATTTTTACACTCACTGTAATTATAGCAATGTCATTGGGAATGAAGTATTCAGAAATGTCTTGAGTCGTGAAATGCTTCGTGCACGTTAGACTTTCTACTTTGTATGTTCTTCCCGAGCCAATTCGTGTACTGCCAACCTCTACTGTGATTTCTCGTAAGTTATTTGTGAAAGGATTTTGTACGTACTTATAGACACAATGTCCTGCTGTTAAAACGTGCTTTTCACTGATCAGGGCACCACCACAGTAATGCTGACCATTTATTTGAATCGATACCATGTAAGGAAATTCTCCAGCTGCTACCAACTCTGAGCGTACAGCCAGTCTTTCATTAAGATCCGTTTCGTCAAATTTTTCTTCGTTTTCTGGTTTATTACTGTGGGCACTCACATTGCCAACATTTTTCGAGCTGACAAATAGATCGTTGCTTACCGGAGTTCCATTTACTAAAAAGTGTTATTAAGGATTAACTTGTTTCAATAGGTTTATACCCATAAAAATATTTTCTAATTAAAAGATGAGATTTAGTATAGAATTTGTAATGATTACCTAGTGTTGTGCAGCAAACAGCCACAAGAGTTATAAGAAACATCTTTGTCGTTGTGGTCAACAATCTTTTTGAGTTCCTCAATGACTGACTTTGCAAGGTAGTTGAGCAAACTTTTTATACTCAAAAAGTAGTAATACTTCATCAGAAAATATGATGTTATCTTAAAAAGTCAAGTTCATTAACTTTAATAATCGTTCAGAAAATTACAACGAATGTAACTTGATTATCGCACTTGTCGTATGTTATAAGGTGAATGATTTATCACAAAAGAGCAATTGACCTTAGCTTGCGTAAGCAACCGGATATAAGAACTGTCATAAGTGTTGCAGTAACTTCCTACCATTAAAAGTTGCATCATTTTATATTTCCATTCATGGTTTCAGGTCATTGTCATAGCACTGTTCTAACATTAAAATGTTAGTGTTTCTTCCAATATTATGTTGGATGAATAATCCCCATACTAAACAATTTTTATCTTAGTAACTTGAATATTATAGGATCAGCCAAAATCGTATTATATATTTTAGTTTGTAAGAAGCCATAAAAACTATTAAATAAAATAAACAATTTATCATACACTTAGTAGGTAAGTACATTTTTTCTATTAAGGGTGACAACAATGTTTTTAAAACCAGATATTTGAAAATCCGTAAGGGATATCATGATAAAAATGTTTTAAAAGAAAGTAAAATATTATTAAACTACGAGTTTTTTGTGGCATTTTTTAAAAATTGTTTTGATTAAAGACACAAGTATACAAGCTACAATAGTCAGTTGTATCTAATATGAGCTATAGCTCTTCTCATGTACTTTATTTTTTTTACATAACTTTTGTTTCAGTAAGCTATGAGAATTAATTGACGTCCAAGTTTAAGCTCATTACATACTTCTCTTTCGTTAACTCAAAGGGTGCTTTTATTTAAGCATATGTTATGTAACTAAGTTGATTCGAGCTTAAAAATAAGGAATAACAAAATAAAATATTTGGTATGGAAGATACGAGATTATGTTACTTATGACAGGAAGTTTACTTTCGATTGTCATTATAGAATTTTGTAATTAAATTATTTTATTTTAAATTAACAAGTTCTTGCTATAGACAGAAACTAATCTAAGCCCAAAACATCAAGAAGAAAGAATACTGGGATGAAAGGTGACTTTTACTAAAAATGAAAGGGATTTGGCAACCTTGTTACTCTACTTTGCAATACCTTACGAAGTACGTACGATGCACTGTATAACATTGTGCAAATGGAAAAAAAAAATTTGCTTGAAAGAACCGTGGTGTGGTGCTTTCATCCGATGTTGAACCTTGAATCTTAAATCTTAGAATGTTGAAAGTGTTAAAAAAAAATTAGGTGGCTTGCAAAAATAAAAAAGTTGTATCAGTTTCAAACATTGGTTGAAAAATGTTAACTCAAAATTATCAAAGTCAAAAAAGTGTAGAAAATAATTTTTAAAAACAATTAATTTTAAATGTTCTTTCAAGATGAGACCTTGATAAAGTTCGTTCTCTCCGTTTGACATGAAACACATCATTCACTCCATCTGCTCTCTTCATCTGGATCTCACTGCAAGCAATTATTTTCCAGCTGTTAGTTGTGTAATGTTAGTCAATAAACATTGGGTATCTGAATATCTTTCGAAAAGAACGATGAGTGTTTTAACTTAATCTTAATATTTTTTTTAAAGGTTTCATTCGTAAAGCACGTTAATGAAACATACCTCTACTTTTAATACACATTTTTTTTACATTTAAAAAAAAATTACATTTTGAAATCAATCTACGATAACATATTTATGTAGTAACAGTAGTTATGACAACGAAATCAGGCTAAAATTTTTCCAACATACGTTCTCTTACTCCTGATAAGTCAGTTAAGAGATGGCGAATGACAATCAGACTAATTGAACAAAAAATGCGCTTTTTCGATTTTTTCCACAACATAATTAAAATCTTAAAGTACGAGCAGTACAGATGAATTCAATGTTGTATAGATTATCAGAAGTAAGCTTCTGAACTAGGATAGAGTAAACGGATATCATCGGCAAACAATCAGATTCATTTGTTTAATCTGTAAGATGTGCAGGTAACGAGAGAGGTAATCAGCCCACATGTAGCCAATATGTATACGTAGTGATAAAACTATGAACAAACAAAAACTAGCAGTTTTTCTCGGTACCTCCTCGAGATTAACTATCTGGCAAGTACTAGCACCACTCACACGAACTCATCCAATTGTTAAAAGTGCGATGATCCAATACGACACACCGTTGACAACCGGATGCGCCGTAAAAACAGAGACGGAGTTTATGACCATCCTCCGATGCCACTTGAAGGCAAGAGCTCGACTTCACTGCATGGGAGAGGACAAATCTATGTATAAACTCTCCCTCGGTATACACGACCACGTGCGTTTATTAGCATGCAGCCCGCAAGGATACAAATTTCGGGTAAGAGAGAGAGAGAGAGAGAGAGAGAGAGAGCGTGGGTGCGCGTCCTGGTGGCACCTGGCCGAGAATATCAATGTCGCGTGGCTTTGACATTCCAACAAAGACGCCGGTCTCCCGATTTGTTTGTACGTTTGCGTATGGGTGCGCGCTCACGCAATCAGTGGATCCTTTGTATATTAAACACGATGCGCGCATGAATGACATTTTGACGTTCGATTCCTCGTGTCGCGCTGGTTGTGTAAAGGCAGGAGCTTTCCCCGAACTGTCGATTACAGGATCTGCCGTCAGAGGTACGGTTGATGTATTATAAATAAATTAAAAAGAGCGAAGGTTAATTTATACCATATTTTACCAGTAGTCTTTTCGAGCCAAGGAGCTCGTGTCGGTTGGACACAGTTCGCGAGATTATCGTCGTTAGAATTCGTTAAGCCTAAACGGTTGACAGTGAAGGGCAAGGGAACGAAAATGTGCAAGTTTTTAATTAAGCGCAAACCTTTACTCCGGGACTTTGACCAAAAAAAACGAAATTAATTGAAATAGAACCTATTTGATTAGCTCAGACTATATTCCAACTAACCTACCGAAGCCTAATTTTATACTTGTCAAAATCGCCATGAAAATAAAAATGTAGGTTCAGAAGAGAACAATACAAGAAATATTGTGTTTTCTCCGGCTATTCAATGTCAGAGGTAACTTCAAAAATTTTCAGAAAAAAAGTATTTCTTCAGTTTAAAAGTAATTGTTGAACGCAAACCTTAGGCAGTTTAAGTAAAAAAATGTGGGCTTAGGAACCAATGGAATTACGAGCGTCAAATTAGGATTAGATATGTAGTTTTCGAGAAAAATCAGAAAAACCAGTAAAAATCGAATTTTTTAAATTTCCTAATAACTTTTTTGCAATGTAACTAAAGAGTTAATAGTCAAAAGTTAGTTAATAGGTAGCTAAAACGTCAATTTTTTAGTTATATTTGTCAATGTTTGATATAAAATGGCCTCAATAGATAACTTTATGACTCTACGATCTTCTTGTGATATGATAACTCAGTTTACAAAAATTAAAAAAATTGTTTTACACTTTTGAAACTTGCACAAACATATTCTTTTTAAGGAGGCTCCCTCGTGCAGAAATGCCAACCCACGTCGTAGGTCACAAGTTTGCTCGCAAACTCAAGTACAGATGGCATCACTGACGCAAGAGAACATAAGCTAATAATATAACCAGTGGAAATACAATGACTTGATGAATTTTTTTTAGAATATTTCGAAATTTTCCAGGGTAACACTTACTTTGCTAGGCGTCATTCGAAAGAGGAGGTTTTTTTCTACAAAACGTGTGCGCTTTTATTACGGGAACTGTTGATTTATTCGAGTTTTTAAGTTGTTTTCATCGCGTGTGCGAGCTCCACCATAAGAATATGTGTTAGAAAGCGCTACATTAAATTAATAATATCTCGAAATTTTGCAGGGTAAGCGATATAAATAATTATTTCATTGGATTCAGTAGATTTTTAACTATTAAATTCATCTGGTTTTGGTTCGGGAACTGTCACGAGGGAGCCTCCTTAAATACTAACCTCACAAAGAAGAAATACCCTAAATTATTCTTTACAATGGATGATTTTCAATGATATTCTCAAAGTTGAGTTAAAGTATGCAGCACGCATCAGTTACTCGTTTACAGTGTAATGTAAGTGCTCCAAAAATAATGTTACGAAATACACGTTGAAATGTGTCTAATAGCCTTATTACTCTTGTAATCAGTTGAGTTTCAAAAATTTGTAATAAGATGATTGAAATAAAATCACGCTTATTATAAAAAATGAAGTTAATGAAAGGTTTTCATGCATTTTTTTTAACTTCTATCGTTTCTCCCCTTGTTTCGGGTAGTAAACTTCTACCTTTAAAAATTTAACTAAAAAATCGTTGCAATAGCCCTTAAGTGGTTAATAAAAATCATGTCTTACGAAATTTAGGAATATCCAATGTATCTTTGACATTGTGATCATATTTTTAATAAAATCATTAAAAATATGTAAAAACTTTATTTTTCCATTTTTTTAAATTTTTCTCATAACTACAAATCTGATATAAAATGAAAAGCACGCCATTCTAAAGATTTTTTTACAACCTAAGACTACTTTTTCGCTCAACTTGGCTAGTACACTTCGTTTAGTTAAGTCCAACACTTATTATTGCATCTACCTTTTTTCCCTAACTAATACTTATGCATGATTTGTTTATTATCAATGAATAAAGAAACATTTAGTCATATCCAATTGAATCTGTGACCATTATTAATTTAAAACGCAAATTAATTCTCTGTATCATAAAAAGGTTGGATCAAAATTAATAACTCTTAGCTAGTAAAATATTTTACTGTAGGAAACAGGAATAATTTTTCGCCACTCGGATTATTATTACAAGTACAGTGAACTAAATTCTCAGAATACAATAAAAGATAATGACGATGATTGTTCTCATTGGAAAAAATAGAGCGGGACAAGACCAGAATACAGAAAATCACACCAGCTCGAGAGTCTCGAATATTTACAGTCTTCCGTAGCTCGTAAATCGTATTCATATAAGTC